ATAATATTTAATAAATTTAAATTTCTTTTAAAATCTAAGGCACAAACCACATGAGAGCAAGTTGAAAAAGACACAGAAATACTGTTACTATAGAATCACAGCAGGAAGCTTGAGCTGAACTTTCCCTGGTGACTCCCACTTACAAAGCTGAAATTTGGCTTGTGGAGCCAAGAGAGAATTTCAGCACAAACCCAACCAATTGGGGAAAATGAGGGATTAGAAATGGCCCCTGTGGCAGGGGCCCTCACTTACACCTTGGGAGTCTTCTGCTTCTCTGAGAAAGGCTCTTGCCTTGCCTGGGAGAGCAGAGGGTAGCCTGAAGCTTGGGGGGTTGGGAGAGTTTTAGTTCTTGGAGGCATTTTGTTTTACTCTATTGCAGGTAAATTGATTTATTTATTAGCTTTGTTGTTCTAATTGTGGTAAATTGTTGCTGTTAGCTGTACTGGTGCTTTGGAAGTGTGTTATTATGTAGGGGTGAGTAGTGGATTGTGGGAGAACATTGGCTTGTAGTGCTGTTGTAATTATTTAAGATAACATTTTGGTTTGGAGAGCCTTTTTGGTTAAGTTAACATTCTACAGAGCACATAAATGTTTGTAATGCAGGTAAACCATACTGGGTTCCTTCATAAGCACAAGATAAACCTATTTGTTCTTCTATCTTGTATCTCTTATTTAAAACCAGCTTGATTCAGCTCTTTTGGGTGGAAATAATAATTGCCTTTCTTTGCTTTTGTTGTGAGGCTGGCTCTGATGTGCATTGCCAAAGTGCAAGTAGGTGGAGATAACTCAGGCACCTTCTAGGTAGAAAACATAATTTGCCATAGTTTAAGAACAATAATTCTTGTTATTAAGGCCCAAGATGAGCCCAACACTGATATTGTGGAGCTGAGCCTGACGAATGAGTCTCACGGTTGCTCTTCTGTGTTCTGAGAGCAAAATCTGCTGTGCAGGCTCAAAAACTGTGTGCTCCTAAATTTGCTTAGCTTGTGAATTCTGCTGCTTAGCAGTGACTATAATTTTTTTCATCCATATATAAATTTTACTCTGTATCAGTGATATAGTCCTTAACTGTTATATTAAATCGCAGTTTCTAAACCAAGCTTTTGGAGCCTTCTCACAGCTCTGCTTTCTGTGATTCTGATTACAGACTAAAAAATTTGATTGTTCATAAACTTCCTATTCCTTGCTGCCTTTTCCTGCAAGAGGCATGTGGTTCAGCAAACTTGTTTGGGCTCTCACAGTCCCCCTAAACACGTAACATTTACAAAGGATGGATTTGTTAACTCTGGCTACAGGTCTTCCAACTAAAATGCCTTGTAAGTTTTTTTCCCCTCAATGCACTGCAGCACTTAACTAAGATGAGTAGAACTTCAGAGATACTCCTGGTCTCCACTTGATTGTTTTGTATGATGTGCATGCTCAAAAGAGAGCACTGAAATAGTCTTTTGTTAGGTCAACAATGTGGTGTGCCAGCTTTGAAAGGCCAGATCATTTTAGGTGTATGTGTATATTTATTTCCCCACCCCACACACACAATTTAATATTTGCCTGTGTGATGTTTTGGGTCTGTGTCCTTAAAAATGTTTAGCTCTGATAACCAGCAGATAGTTAATGCTTTCTTGGGATGAATTGACCTATTGAATTCAGTGGTGAAGGGATTTTTCAGGGCACAAAGCAAAAAAGTGGATTTGAGTCACCTACCACTCAGTCATGTGTGTAGTGACTTCACTCCAGAGGAATTCTGTTGGAGTGAGTAGTTAAATTGATGCTGATTCTCACTTATGTAATTGTATGACCTTTTGAAAGTGTATTTCCCAGCCATGTAGATATATTATGAGCAGTTTCTCTTATTTGTGCAGGGAAAGGCTGTTACCTTTATTAGGATGAGGACCTGGATCACTGGGCACTCACTCCGAGCTTAATTTCCCTCTTCCTCCTGCACAGAACCAGCACAGGCAGAAAATTCTTATCTTCAAGGACACCTCCCTCTAGGAACTGGACCTAATTATTTTTGACTGTGTCCTGGAGAAGTTATATTTTATAAAGATATCACTATATATTCACTGTTTAATCATTACATGAAAAATCTACTGATATTCTGTGTAGTGCTTGGCTGTAACTGAACATTGGGTGTGGCTGTTCTCTGCTCTGTTATGGCATGCCTTTTAAAATCTGTTTGTAGGAAAAAAAGAAGCAGAGTCTTTTGAATGTTAATTTCAAAGCTGAGCAGAATGGCTGGGGATTTCTCAGAGAGATGAGGAGCTGGGAGCTGGAGTGCCTCAGCAAGGGAGGCAGCGTGGGCTGTGTCCTCCCCCTGCGCTGTTCCTGGCAGCATCTCTCCCGTGAGCTGCCCGAGGGGCTGGGAAAGTGCTGGGCTCTTCCCTTCAGCCACGAGTGAGGACTCAGCAAAAGCTCAGCAGCAAAGAACAGAAGCACCAGGTTTCTGACTGGGCTGTGATGCCCAAACGAGCTGAGCTTTGACCAGACCAGGAGCTTTCTGGAATATGCGTAGGGACGAGCAGCAGATACCGCAGGGTGAGTGCTGCCTGACCCCTGGGATGCAGCTGACTGCTCTGGGTTGTCTCATGCTCTCTTGCAGAAGGAGAACATGGGGGATGAGGCACCAGCAGAAGAGGCTGAGCTCAGGGCTGCTTGCTGCCAGCTCTTTGAATCCAGCATGAGGAATGAAGCAAGAAGACTGAGGACTTTTCGGCAGTGGCCCGGCACCTCTCCCGTCTCTCCCCGGGATTTGGTCAAGGCTGGCTTCTTCTTTGTGGGTCCAAGAGATGAAGTACAGTGCTTCTGCTGTGGGGGGGTCCTGAAGGACTGGAGTCCTGGGGACTGCCCAACAGCAGAGCACCTGAAGTTCTTCCCTTCCTGTAAATTCATTTGTGGTGAAGATGTTGGGAACCAAGAGATGCTGCCTCTTCAGGAAATGTTTGACACTGTGGATGGGCAGTTCCTCAGTTTTTTGCAGGGGATAGACAGTGAGGACACAGCCCTGCCCAACGAGCCAGAATACCCAGAGATGGTGACAGAGGAGGTGAGACTATCTACATTTCACAACTGGCCACAGTACACAGACATGTGTCCTGAGCAGCTGGCTAGAGCAGGATTCTTTTACACAGGTAAGTGCTTGGGGAGAGGTTTTAAACTCCTACTACTGTTAACTTTTGAATGTGTTGCTGTGTTTTTATTCCTTGCACAAATACTTGTAAGTATGAGTAGTGTAGTTATAAACCACATCCTTCCTTCATCTGCTTCCCTTGCTGCTTGTGCTGAGATCACTCTGATGTTAACTCCTGTTTGGGTTCTCAGGGTTCCACTGGTAAAG